TTTAACTTAAAACACCACTTTACATTATAAATGGATAACAAGCTGGCAGACAATAGCAAGCATTTTTAGTTCTCTGAGGAACTACTGCTGCAAGAACTCTTGAACTTGGTTGTGGGGTGGTGGTTTTGTGTGTTGTGGTGTGTTTTTATAATTTTTTTTATTAATGTTAGGAATAAATTTGAGAATTTAAGTGAAATGAATTTCACAACTGAAACCAAACCTGAAACTCTTTAAGATGTACATGCCCTGAGTTTTTTGGCTTGACTAGGGTATAGAAATTTGGTGTTGTCAAAACCTATATGGTTATAAGGATGTAGTGTGACTTCTCTCTTTTTTCTTCCCCCCCACCCAAAAACAAAAAACCCCAAACAAACACTACAGCAGTAGGTACTTGCTGGTAGCAGGTTATTTCCTATAGCAGAAGTTAATGAGAATCAATGCAGCTAAAACTCTTCAGTGCCTAAGCAGATAAAGAATAGCATAACAGTTATCCATTAAGATGTCAGCAAGTTACACTTAGACAAAGATGGAAAGGTTTAATAGTAACCTTCTGCATGCAACCTCTCCATTGTAGCTAAAAATTGTACTCGGTAGTGGGGAATCTTTAGTATGCATAAGAAATCATTTCTACAGAGATCATGCACATGTCCATTCACTTTTTTTTCCCTTCCTTCCTGAAATGACTAAGAAGCCAAACAGTTGTATTTGAGGCTTATTGGTAACCCCCAGCCACACACACACATCCTCAGGCACCTATTTAATTCCATCAAAGTCCACGTAAAAGTTGTTTGTTCCCAGTTGCATCTTTGGCAGGGGGAGAGGAGTCACTTAATTCCCCCAGCATTTAAAAAAAAAAAAAAAAAACAACCTTAATTTCCTGACAGACCGTGACTTGGTTTCTAGGTGATTTGTACCAGCCTAGAACAAGTTCAAACAGTAACACTGCTTTCAGACAGCCCGTGGGGGGGACCCCATAAACTTTTGAGGTCTTGTAACAGTTAAGTTCATATAGAATTTGGTAAAAATTACACTTCTGCAATATTTTCCTTGATCACTTTTATACTTGTAACTTGGTCATTAAAGAACATCCATCCTGGTCTTCAAGCAAAAAGGCTGGGATGAAAAACCCAGGTAAATATTAAGGCACAGATTCAAGTGTCATCAGTTACCTGCTCAAAGCTGCTGTTTCCCTGGAGTTGCCTATTTTCCTCAGTTTTCATCACTGTCCCCAAGATTTAGAAGGTGTCTCAAACTGGGAGTATTTGCTGTTAGGGCAGTTTTGAAATTGGCTCTCAGGAAGGAATTGAGGCAAATTGGAACTGCTCAAGGACAATAAGATTTTATAACATTTAATTTGCAGCTCATCTACTAGTCTTGGACAACAGTAGCTGGTGATGAAAGAATGAAGCAGCTGGGAAGGACGCTAGCTTTGAAGCAGTTTAAAAAGCCTGAAAACAGGCAACTCCTAGTACAGAGGTGCTAGTGCAAGTATGAGGGCTGTGAAGACTTCTGGGAGCCTAGCTGTCAGACCAGTCAAGGGATGTGTGATCTGAGGTGCTTAAGTCTGAAAAATCTCAAGGTTTGTGTGCATGTTGTCTTAAAGACATTAAAGATTTGAAAATAACTGTGCCTATGTCACTAAATACTGCCTTTTGGTATTAAAAAATCATTTTTGATCTCTTAAATTCTTTACTTTTGACAGTGAAAATAGGTCAGTCTTGCTTTCCAGCTTTTATGCACTAATACAATGCTGTTGGGATTCCTTTTTAATCTTTGAACATATGGAAAATTCTTTTTCTATTAGATTTTTTGTAAGCAAAATTCTGAGAAATCAGTTAACCTTTAAATAAAATTTCATAGTTGAGAACATCCTCTGCCTTCTGACTGCTTATTTCCCAAGACAGATGACCTGGCTGAGAGGTAGTTAGCAGTGTTACACTTCATGGCTATCCAAGATATCATTAGTGTTAATATCTTTCACATTCAAAAGGTCCTGTTATGTTTGAGGGGATATTTTTATTATTCTGCACTTTGAAAACGTAAACCACTGAAGTGTTTTTCACTTACATGCATAATCTCAATTAAGTGGTAGCAGTAACTTCATTAGTTTTCTATTGGGTAGTCAAAATAGGTAACCACCCTGCACTAAAGGAGGGGGTACATACTAGATTTTTTTACTTTAAACATTTCAGTGGATGTACAAATTTGAAAACCACTGGTGTGGATAAACTTTTTTTATTTGAAGACCCTTTGAAAATTTCAAATGGAGTTTTGGACCACTTTGAATTGTAAGTGTGGGTAGTCACATACTTCTGATTAATCATAGTCATCTTTCACAGACCCCTTTAAATGTAGTCTGTGGGCCCTCAGGGGTCCATGAACCACAGGTTGAAAATCACTGATCTACACACTTATTTCATTTGAACCCTGGAAGGTATGTCAGTAAATATTGTAAAAACCACTCATGAGTATGTCCTAGGAGAGTTTGTTCATATGAGGAAAACAAATCAGTATAGTCATAATGTGATAAACCACCTTGCTACAACCTTTTTGAAACAGGTCCCATATAAATCCATATGTTGAAATACAAGGTAACTTTTGTAGAGAGGGGAGGGGAAAACAATTTACAGGCTTTGTTTTAGAAGAGTTGCAGAGCAGCCAAACCAAGTGTAATATGGAGAAGAAGATAATCAGCTAGCCTCTAAAATTGAACTTACCTTCTCATTTGATTTGCTGTTTGCTGCCTGTATAAATGTGTGATTAACTATGAACATTAAATGAGGAAAGTAATCACTTTTCAGTTGCAACAAAGGGAAAACACTGGTAAGGTAATTGGTTAGTTCTTTTCATAGAAAGAAAATAGAAGTAAATAATCCTTAGATCCAAGTAAGGTAATGCCATGAAGTAGGAGCAAGAGTTTAGAAGCTGATATTATGTAAGGAATTTCATGCTTCTCTGCTACTGCTAAATTTGTTGGTAAATACACATTTACTGATTATATATTCTGTATGCTAGATAAAGACTTGGTGTCAATTGGTGACGAAAGGGATGACTCTTGTTGCCCAGTTTACATTTCAAATTAGAAAAAATGGCTTCCTTTGAAAGAAAATGTGCTTCCCCTCTTTTTGAAGTGTTAAAGTGGTTTTCCTTTAATGCCACAAACACTAGTCATTACAATGTCATGCAAAACAGGAGCTGTTAGCTAATGAATTCTGAGTCATTCTTGTGCCTGGATTCTACACTACCTTTAATTAAATACATTACAACCTTCACCCTTTTCAGGGAAAAGTTAGTACCATAGGATCTGTTTTCAGGTAGCTAAATTTCATAATTCATAGGAAAAAAAATACATGCTTTCCCTAGAAGTATGAAAACCTTTCTTAAAGCAGAGCAGAACATGTACACCAATATCATACCTTTATTCAGTTTTGGAGAGTCAAGATAGCCGGATATGGTATAAGGGAAGCCACTGGAAAGGGGCTAAGCAAAGAGCAGGCTAACTAACAAAAGCACTCAATTTCTCCTGTACTGGAGTTAGGTATTTCCAGTGCTACACTGCAGCCAAATAAAGTGGCGGTGGGAGTGCAAATTAAAAAATAATAAAGAATAGAGGATATTACTGAAAAATGTGCTAAAATGACAAGCATTATCACTGCATACAACATTTTGTCCTGTTGAAAGTGTTGCTAATATAAGCTTGAGCTGATAAATAAGAGGCTTTTTCACATACTGATAAAGACTAGGCAGGTCAGGGTGGCACCAAAGAGAGCAACTAATTCAGAAAAATAAAAGTTTTGTAGGTGACATCTTACTGAACCACTCTGCTTCACCTTCTAAAAGCTGTTGAAAAAATAGGTTGCTGAAACAATGGAAGCATTAACCTATGGGGGGAGAGCTGCAAGCTTTTCTTTAATCCAGTTAATAGTAAGTCTATAGTATTTCAATGGGAAGGAAATTGTGTCATCCTGTTTTAGTAACTTGAACCCCATCAAAATCTGGCAGTATATATGGGATATTAACAGGTTTCCTACTTATGAGACATCTGAGTTGGATACAGACAATCCCTTCACTTACAGATCATTTCTGCTTTACTTCTAGGTCGCTAAATTGTTCTGAGTAATTGGCTAAAATCAGGCTGAGGGGTGTCCATAGAGACTGTCCAGAGTACAAAATGATTAAGTTAGACCTCTGAAACAAGCAGAAGAGCACAAGTATACTTAGTAGCAAAGATACCTTGATGAGCAACCCATTCCAGAGGACTTTGTTGTCCATCACAATAAGAGGAAAGCACAAAGTGAGTGGAAATGTAACTGCAACATAGCACTCTACACACGAATCCTTTACTGTGTTAGGTAGATGGTGTTCCCGGATGAAGAGGGCGTGCAGATAGCGCCATATGACTATGTCCAGATGATGGCCAAGGAACCTCTTCAGCTTTGCCAAGGGTAAGGCAAGCCTCTTTTTCTGCATGTCTACAGGAGAGAGATGTGGAGATTCCCTCATGAGGAGAAAAGTAAAATGGGGGGACTGAAAGTGAAAACTGAGGGATACAAGGTTCTTTGGGTGAATCTGATATCTTTTATTAGACCAACTTAAATAGTTGGAAAACAATTATTAAGCAAGCTTTCGGGTTCAAAAACCTTTTGTCAGGCTGAGGAAGTTTCTGCAGTTGGTGTGTGCTCTCCTTGGATGGAATGAAGAGTAAAGAAGCCAGAGGCTGGGCTGGTCTGCATACAAGGCAGGTAGTCAGTGAAGGTGTAGAG